ATCGATGCATGGAGAATGGCTCAGTCCCCCGCGCCACGGCCCAGACATGCAGACGTAGGCACTTCCTCTCTTCTCCTTCTCATCACTTGGGGCTAATCCCCTATCCTTCGCGCAAGCATACATGCTATAAATTCCGCAAGCGCAATTAGTTGGCTCTCTAAGAATTTTGAGGTTAGCGCGATCAGTGAGGATCGACTAACGAGCAAGTTTGGAAGGTACGTGAGTGTGAGAGTTGGGCGATCCGACAAGCTGGTGTCGGGTATGCGGGGTTGACGTGCGGGGCTGCGACGGACTGTGGCGCATGGGCAAACCTGACTTGCATGCGTGAACCAAGCGGGATGACAACTCTACGTTGATACGCGGCGACGGACTGCCTGCATCGAGAACAGAGAGAGAGAGAGAGAGGGAGAGAGAGAGCGGTTGTGTGGGTGCGGGACAAGATTCTTTTTTTTGTTGTCTCTTTCTTCTCTTGTTCAGATGTACGATTTTTTAATCCTGGCATGACCGATTTTGTTACCACGGCCCTCCTCTTTTGAATTTTGTTTGTACATCGTCTTAGATTTTCTGTGATTTTATTCAGTATGCATGCATGAAATGAATGTAAATTCTCTGTTATTATGTTCTTTTCGGAGATCTAGCTCTGTTTTGCGATGCTTGTTTCGTCTCTAACTCATTGTTAAGTGCTGAGATGAGTCGATCATCCCTCTGCGTCACATGTATGGCCTGTAGTGATTGGTAGGATATTGACACTTATGCTGAACGGAACCAATCGGTTGTTCCTTACGCGTACGTGCGAGCACGCTCGCGATCTCGAGAAAACCAGTTTGCCACGTACGTGCTCGTCCGCGTGAGTCATCCTTAACCTCGTGTCAGGATGCGGGGGAATCGGTTTACTAAACGAACATGGCTGCAAGATCTCCCTCCTGGACATCCGACTACGAAAAGCTGAGGGACCCGGAATATCGCGAGTACTGGGAAGGCGAACAACTTAGACTACGGGGAAACTTGAGATACCTGGAATTCCCCTGTCTGAGGGAGCACGACCGACTATGCACGAGGGATTTCCACTGGGCTATAACCAGTGATCCTAGAGGCCCAGACTACCCCGATACGGACAATACTCGATACTACATATCCCCGGGTTTCGTCGTTATTACCACCAACTTACCCCCCTTCCATCTCCTCCTCCCCTATCACCAACTCACAGTGGTTCCGTGGAATTCCATAGCTCGCTATTGGCCCACCCCGCTGTGCGAGGGTTGCCAGCATTACCGGGCGCGCCGGGCCTCAGGAACAACCCGACAGACTCGAACCGAGGCGGAGCGTCGAATGCACAATGTCCGTTTATGGCCCGCCTCGGTAGAATCCGAAGCCTGTTACGAGCAGCACCGACAACTGGCCGAACCTCGCAATCGACCCCGAAGGCGAAACCAAAGGCGATGGTGATTTCCATTTTTGGGCTTAAAGCTGATGAAATTGGGGTTCGAGAATGCAAGAGTGTTTAATCTGTCGGCCCTGGGGTTGTAGAAGAGTACCCCGGGAACTTTGGTTTGGGATGTACTGCACATGCCATCGGCCCTATGCTGCATGACATCTGCAGCTTTCTCGCTGTGCATAAATCACGAGAGGTGGTTTACCTTCCTTCTCATAAGGCTTAAAGCGCCAAGGCATGATCAACACATATCCCCTCTCGCGCTTTTACTGCCGAAACTTGCCACAGGAGATCCCAGTTCCGACCTGAGACTCCACCCCCCCGCTTTCCTAAAATCCTTGGCACACCCCCTTCTTCGCACTTCCGGGGCCCCGTCCCACTCCGATCAGGAAGTCGGGCTGGGCGTGAGGTTGGGCGTCACAGGGTTCCTTTCCGTCTCAGGCATCGACGGGGGGGAAGAAATTTCCTGCATACTGCCAACCAAACTACTATCACATGTCGCCCCTACCCAACCACTGTCTAATTCCTTTCCCAATACTCCTAGCAGATCATCCTCCGATTCTTCCCCACTAGAAACCCCTCCCCTTTCCACTTCGACCTCAGTCCCTTCTTCCAGAATGGTTTGTTTGTTTGACTTAGAATCCTTGTTAACTTCCCCTTTGCCCCGTAGGTCTTCCTCACTAAGGATGAAGATTCCTTTGGGGGGTTCCATTCCCATTTCATTGGCTTCTTCTACTCTCCGGTCTTTTAAATTTGAGTCCACTCCTTTCTCCATCTCAAGTTTATCTGTCAGATCTTTCAAGCCCACTGTCTCTTCCTTCCCTGAACTTTGTGGGGATGTCGGGTAGTTCTCCCGTGGGACATGGCGGCGAATTAACGGATCTGGTTCGTTCTCTTCCTCTTCTTCTGAAGCTTCCACCCCCCATCTTTCTCTCCCCCCATCTTCATCACTGAGAATTATCTGTTCTGCCCTTGACCCCACCACCTCTTCCCTGTTGGCTTCCGGAGGTTGGTTCTTCCCTTTTTCGGTGAGGAGCGCCCCATTTTCTTCCCCTTGTTCTTTCATTTCCTCATCACGTAAGGGTGATTTCATATTTTTCGAAATGTAGGTTTTTTTTTGGCTGCCTTTCCAAACGAAAATCTCCCAACCTTTCGAGGGCACCCGTTCCTTCTGCTTGTTCTGGTGATTCCGATTCTTCTGTTTACCCTGGGCCGATGTGCCCGTGCCTTCTTCATGCTTCCTCCCTACATTGCCCTTCTTCCCGCTGCTATCTCTACCCTTTCGAAGCCCTTCCGGTTCTCCCACCGTGGCTTTTCCTTTTGACTTTCGAGAGTTGTCATTTCTTTTTTTATTCTCCGGGCAATCAGGATCGCCCGCCACGTGAAAGAATTTTCGACAATCTGCACACCAAGGTGTGTCAGCACAGACAACTTCAATATCAACGTAACCAAACTCTGCAAGGTCAATCGATAAATACGGTTTATACCGGAATCTAGCAGACGTAGCCAGATCAAAGTGAATGTTAAGCAGTTTCGGGGAGCTGGGTTCGTTGAACTCTGGGTAGGTCTTCAAGATTGGACCAAAGGCAGCTTCAATCGCTTCCTCTAAGAAGGGAAGGAAAGACACAGGAATTTGCAGACATCTGATCCAAAAAACCTGAAATCGCATTGCCTCTCTCCAATCATGCAGCTGGTTATCGCCCATCCATGGCAAAAAGGTCAGTTCATAAGTTTTATTGTCCAAGGTTTCTACATTCCTGGTGGAACAGACCCCTCCTCGGTGGAACATTTATTGATCTAGAATTAGCTCAACCATGCTTATACGTTCTCATCAGTTTATTTAACGTTGATAGGGAGGGAAGTCGTCTCGTCTCCGTACAAAATTGTCACGGCATGTGCCTTTAACCACTCTACCTGGAACCTAACTACCTCAGGATCTACCGCAACTTGCACATAGTCCGTCCCGACTTCCACTCTGTTGGGGTTGGAAGACGGGGCCAAATGCTTAGGAATCAGACCATCTGCATAACATGAGGCAAGGATCGCTCCAATCCTCTGCTTCTCCGCATCAGACAGAGGAGGAGAGGTAGGATCAGGAGGTGGAGGGTTGGGCGGGGGGAGGTTGGAAGGCCTAATCGTCATCATTGCTTTCCATTTTCCCCTATTCCCCACCCCCTCCTTCTCTCCTTATAAAATAAAATCACGAGAACTCAAACAATCAGAACAAAATTAAACTAGAATTAACCTAATCACTCAAATCAATTAACGACCGAGGATAAATAAATAACGACTTCTGAGCATATCACCCAAATCCCACCTGAGCTCCTGTTCGTATATAACTAATAAATAAGGATTGCTACGGGATGGTTACCTTATACGGACAAGCACTGCCAGCGAACTCACTGCAGGGGGGTCTGGGTCATCAAAAAACGTGATGGAGGGCGACTCATGGCATACGAAGATGAAAGCACAGAGTTATCCATTACCGGCATCTCTCCGGAAGTGTCACTACCTCCGGTCTTCGACCCAGCTGACGACCAGCTACTTCCTGCCCCTTGGTCCTCCCAAGGAGAAACACCCTACCGAATACTACAAGGAAGCAAGAGGCCACACCCAAGAAATTGCCGAAAAAGCGAGTGTGCCTCATCGCGCCGACTCCGTCGAGTAAACAGTATCCCACCGTGCGGTAATGTAAAAGGCACCTCGGGAATACCCAGATTACCGAGATGACTTGCGTTGAGTCTCTGCGTTAACGCAGAATTAGCGCACGCTGTTACGCGGCGCGGCAGATCACTAGGCTCGTTCTTTTGTCCTTTTGCCCCTTTTTTTTTTTTTTTTTGTTCTTTTCCCCGCTCTGGTTCTTGAGTTGCCCATCCATGAGTGTAGATCAGCGAAGCAGGGAAACCTCACGCGATTAAAAAAAAAAAGCCCACCCTCACGCGAAGAATCGGCGTCGCTTCTTCCACTTCCGTGGTTTGTCCATCCATGAGTAGAGCAATGGCCCCTAAGGCCATACTCACACTAGCACCCGTCGTAAATGTATCTGACCGCGTTTACAGGCAACCGTGGCACGAAAATTGGCCTTTGCCCATTGATGAGTGCTGTGAAAACTGGCCCGACTGACCAATTACGCTGACCGGAACCAGTTTCGCGCGGTGGGTGACTGATGCATTCATAACACGTGGCAGACTTAAATGGCATATCCGAGAGGTCAGGTCAGGTAATAAGTATTGAGCTGCAGTCTTGACGCGTGGATGGGAGCTGGTCTTCCCGCCTAGATGGCTGAGACTATACTCACACAAAGCCGTGAATCGGGACTTCGTTGCGGTCAAATCCATCCAGGGCATCTGCAGTTGCGATTAGATACGCATTCTCCAAAGCGCTGGTGAGAGTATGCCCTGTTGCTGGGCGAGCTGTCCCAGCTGTGGAGGACCGCATAAATAGGCGCCGATGTCCACGGTAGCAGACCGTGACTTCAGTTCAGTCTTTGTGGACGCCTCCAGCAGGAGGGCAAGTTGATTTCCAGGATTTCGAGGATTTTAGGGACGGCAGCTGCATATAACTCTACAGCATCCACCACGAACGCGGTGTTTGCCGCACGGCCTTCTCCTTCCTTCGCTTTCTCTCTCACAAGCTTGTCCGTCATCCCTCTCTCTGTCTCTCACTCTCGACGAAGGTGTGCGATGGCCCGCCCGAGCACTGGTCTGTTGCTGGCCATTGGGCTCGTTTGCCTTGCCCTCTCCGCCGCGATCCCGTCCGTCTATGGTCTCCGCCGGCTGACATCGGGTTGTGGCGGTTGTCCGTCGTCCTGCGACACGGCGCTGAAGGGCTGCGATTTCTACTTTTATGGTCACGAGAACAACGTGCCGAAGATCAAGCTCATCCGAAAGGGAGACAATACCATCTACGTCCGATGCGGTCATATTCTGCACCGGGTTGGGTAAGTCTTCACCGTCTCGAGAACATCGAGACCCGTTCCTCTCTCTCTCTCTCTCTCTCTCTCTCTCTCTCTCTCTCTCTCTCTCTCTCTCTCTCTCCCGCGGACCCTTTCCTCCCTCCCTCCCCGCTTCCCTCTTTCACTCCCTCTCTCTCTCTCTCACTCCCTCTCTCTCTCTCTTTCTCTTACGCTCAGTGTCCGCGATGCTTAGTGTAGAGTTCTCTGTTTCCTCTTGCCGTGCCGTGGAGGAAAGGGCGTAGTCTACGTGGCAACGTCTGTTTAGCGTGTGGACGTCGACTCATGTGTCCAGATGCTCTCTTGTTCCCACGGCACGATCTTTGATGGAGATGTCTGTTGAGGAATACGGTCGTTCATCAGCATTTGGAGAGATGATTGGCATATAACGCTATCGAATCTGTCGGAGAGCGTCTTCTACCGACCACAAAGCACCCTCGTTCTAACTGTATCGAACCGGAAAGGTAGCGTGTATACGTTCAGCATCAGGGTGCGTTGTGCGTCCGGAGGATGCCGGCGCCCGACGTGCGCGGAAGGTTTTGTTCGATCATCCCGTCGTGCTGTGGACTTTGTCGGTTAGATTCAGTGCGTACTCAATCTAGTACTGTCCTGGATGTATCTGGCGGCCTTTCCTACCATGCGTGGACGCATCAGACGGCAATTACAGCCGTTCGATGAAGTATGCGGTCTTGTTGCGCTTCTTTAAGGGCATGCGATGACTTCATGACCGCTTCTTAAGAGTCAGGATGAGCTTCTTACGGCGAACTACTGCTGAGTGGATACTCATAATCATACTATGAGTAGTGTTTCACTCATGGATGCAATTGAGGCCAGATGCATACACGCTCGCCTGGAATTGCGGTCTGATACATTTAAGGTCAAGCTAGCGTGAGTACGCCCTGAGCTCTCATGGGATTGGGAACCTGCACCCCGCGAGAATCACACAGCCTTGATGGGGATGCATAGGGGAATCTGTCATTGTGTGTAAGCCTGGGTGTGATGAATGACGGCATAGTCACACTAGGACTTTCTCTATTCAGTTGTGAACATTATTGCGGTCAGATACGTCCAGGATTGGTCTTGATTACGGTCATCTAGATCCGGGGAAGTATAATTAGTCTGCGTATGCCTTAAAGACATGTATGTTTGTTTCGGTGCCATGACATAGTCACATAGGAACGAAATTGGTTCTCACTGTTGAATTTTCAATGTCCGAAAACGCTGTGTGCAGGTACGACACCCGCCCAGTGAAGGTTGTGAACTCGGCCAACTGCGCGATTCTCCAGGGGCAGACGTGGAACACGAATGCGTGCCAGCATCGGCTGTATGGCAATGGCAGGCACCTCGCGTCTCGCGAGTTCAACGTTGGCAATCCCAGCGACTTCCTGAACGCGTGCATCAAGGTCCAGATCAGCGCGGCGCAGTACCAGGACGGAGGAAACTTCAACAATGGTCACAAGAACCCTCGGGCCTGCATCGTGGTTAAGACGGAGAGTACCTTCGGGTAATTAACTCTTACTGGGGCGGCGCCGCTTTCTATTTATTCAAAATAGGATGGTCCACTGATTGGGCCCGTGCGGCTTTCCATTTGACATCCGCACGGGCCCAATCAGTGGACCATCCGTATTTTGCTGAACCATTTTTTGTTATAGAATTCATAGTTAATAGGACAAGCTCTAACGATTTGAAGAGGGGGGAGGAGAGAGAGAGAGAGAGAGAGAGAGAGAGAGAGAGAGAGAGAGAGAGAGAGAGAGAGAGGTTTGGATGATCTCTGAATCAAGGACAGTTTACGTTAGAAAATAGTATGTCCTTGTGTAGGCAAGCTCTAACGATTTGAAGAAGGGTGACTATATGTACCCTCTGTTTACTTTGTATGAATTTGGAAGTCGGCGCTTTGCAAGTTTGCATTCATAGCTGCAGTCTTCTTGGTGACTATAAACGAACCCTCTGGAATTGATGCACCCGTCCTCTCTCGCGCGCGCGCGTGCGCTCGCGCACGCACTTTTCGCCTCCACTAAGACTTGTGCAGGGGCATGATGTCTTCTGTATCGCTCGACCTTTTTTTTATGTCCCCACCGCTCTCTCTCTCTCTCTCTCTCCTCTTGCATTTTTCTCCTCCACTAAGACTTGTGTATGGGCGTGACAATCTTCTGGATCGCTTTTTGTTTTAGATATTTCCTGCCAAAACGTTTTCGGGTTTGGGGCGCCCAAGGTTCGGCCGTTTGGTACTACCGGCCCAATGTTTTCCATGTGGGGTACTACGGGCCCATGTGTTGCTCCAAGGCCTATTTGGGCCGGTAGGACCAAACGGCCGAACTTTGGGAGCCCCAAACCGAAAACGTTTTGTTCTACCAGTTATCCCTTTTGTTTTGGATGTTCCCGTCTCTCTCTCTCTCTCTCTCTCTCTCTCTCTCTCTCTCTCTCTCTCTCTCTGTGTGGCATGACAATCTTCTGGATTGCTTTTTTCTTTTATCTTCCAACTGGTCTCTCCTTTCTTTCTCTCTCTCTCTCTCTCTCTCTCTCTCTCTCTCTCTCTCACACACACACACACGCACACACACACACACACACACACACACACACACATATGCTATCATCATGTGCACCTATTCTTCCGTTTCTGGAGTGCTGCTTGATCGAGTTCGTTCTTTACATGACAGAGTTTCAAAACGTAAAAGCCAATTATCCCGAGGACGACCTGAACCTTGCAGTTACGATTACCATGATCGAGTGCGCGTTTGTCAGTGCGTTCGGGGTGCGTGTGAGTGTACGGCTACCAAGGTGTGGGTGCGCGTGCTTGCATCATGGTATACGTGCGGTACACTTTTGTCCGTATCTGGGGGTTTTCCAGTTCACAATGAAGTTCAGCAATTTCGTTATATATTGCTATAAAGCCTATAAATATTACTATAAAGCCTATAATGGCCCAGAATTCATGAGCCACTGCAAGGATTTCTGTCTGTTCTTTTTCTTTGTTTTTAAGTACGCTATATTCTTCTGTCAATTTCTCAGGCGTTCTGCGATGTCGTGGAGCAGATCTTTCATCTTTCACTACCTACTTACCACTACTCCTAACTTCCTAAGGCTATACAGGGGAGCCCTGCACGCATAGCTCTCTCTCTTCAGTGAAGGGAGGTTACCTCTAGAAGTGGGCGGTACATGCAAATTACCTCCCACTCCTATTTGTTTTTTCTACTTCCTGAAAATTGGATTGTGCACGTTGGGTCTCAGACACGTGGACCTACACTCCCAAACACTATTAAAAAAAAAAAAAACATGAAATTTGATCCCCCCCCTAGGAGTCCCCAAACCTACCTCGAAGCTATGAATCTTCCCCGGAGGCGGCCATGCACGGCCAAGGCCGCGACTGCGCAACTTCGCGGCCACGTGGTGGCCTCCACCCTGGCGGCCAGGTGGAGGGGGGCGCAGGGGTTTGGGAGGTGGATTGGGGTTGTGCAACCCCAGCCCCCACCCCTCAAACAAAAAAAAAAGAAAAAAGAAACTATTTCTTGGGGCGGTGAATTTGGTGATGAAAGATGATAAGAAAAAAAAAATAGCAAAGAAAAACTTTTTTTTTTTCCGTTTTTTTTCCTTTCGATGATTGATTAATTGGTTGATTGATTGACTGATTGATTGATTGATTCGTGGGGGAGGGACCGCCCCCCCCCCGCCCCAACCCCCCCCCACCCACACACACACACACACACACACACACACACACGCGCAGGTGCGCGTGTGCGTGCAAGTTTTTTTCATGTTGATTGATTGATTGATTGATTGCTGGGGGAGGGGAGGGGTCGCCCTCAACCCCTGCACCGCCCCTCACACACACACACACACATAGACACACATACTGATCGTGATTCCAAAATAACAGTACTTTTTTTTTGAGAAAACTAGGGCGCTGTCAGGGTTAGAGTTTGAAAATACGTTTCAAACTGCCGTTTTGGAGTCAAAGCCCCTCTGAAGTTTACACTGCAGTCCAAACTCACTGCAGTCCAAACTCTTCGGTAGCGTGCCTGTCACAGGGCAGAGTTTCTAACTGCAGTCTAGTCATCCACGTCGGAGGGCCACGCCGTTATCCAAAAAAAAAAAGAAGAAACAAGAAGAAAAAAAGAAAAGCTCGTGGCGCTGTATCTTTCCATGATCTAGCGGAAGATTCACTCTTAGTTTCCAGGATAGAAATGTGCAAAACGAGAGTGAATATTGGCTAGAACATGGAAAGATACAGCGCCATGATTTCATTTTTTTTGTGCAACGGGGATACAGGGGCCCAACGAGATACACGGGCCAGGCCGTTTTCCAAAAAAAAAAAGAAGAAACAAGAAGAAAAAAAGAAAAGCTCGTGGCGCTGTATCTTTCCATGTTCTAACAGAAGATTCACTCTCAGTTTCCACAATCGAAATGTGGAGAAAGAGAGTGGATCTTCCCTAGAACATGGAAAGATACAGCGCCACGAGCTTTTCTTTTTTTTTTGGCAAGGGGGATACAGGGGCCCAACGAGATACACGGGCTGACAACAACGCAGAGGGCCTAGAGGATACACGTGCTGAAAACAAAGTTTCTTTTCCCTTTTTTTTCTTTTTTGTTTTTCCTTCTCAGATTTACCTACCTACGCGTGTCATCCTTGGGCCTCGAGGCGTTGCATCTTTCCATATTCTAGTGGAAGATTCACTCTCGTTTTGCACTTTTTTTTTTTTTTTTTTTTCATATCTAAGGGTCTGATCCCACCACTACACTACAGCCCAGTTACACTGTAGTTTTGGGATCCCACAGCGTGTTACACTGTAGTTTCGGGATCCCACCACTACACTACCGTTGTGGAGTTCGCCGAAATATTTTGCACGCATTTTGTGTCGGAATGTCTTGGCAGCACGCCCTCGAAGGGCTCGAGCAAAGTTACTTCATTTTTTGTGTAGACGGTTTGGGCACAACGGCCGCCAAAAAGAGGGAACTTTTTTTTTTTGTGTTTTTTTTTTTTCAGTTGTCCGTCCAGCCCGTTAGGAACGTCCGAGGTCCACATGCGTGTGTGACATGTCGTCTGGCGGTACAACGGAAATGTCCACCCTCAAAATGCAGCTAATGGAAAGTCGCAGCGGGTCCAGGAAAACCACCGAGGAAGTAGGTGTCGTCGGATCCGCTTTCTGTAGCCGGGCCCGTAGCTGACGCTGACACTATTGTAGTGCTTTTTCGTCACTACTTGCGTAGTGTAGTGGTGGGATCAGACCCTAAGCACCGTCGCGTGGCTGGCCACTGCCGCTATGCCTCCGCCACAGCCTAGGTAAAAAAAAGAAAGAGAGAGTGCATCTCGTCGTGTGGCTGGGCCACGGCCGCGATGCCTCGGCCACGGCCGAGATATAAAATAAAAAAAAAGAAAAAAAAAGCACATGCCGGACTGGACTGCAGTTGCAAACTCGGCCTTGCGACTGTTGTGCATGTAGAGAGTTTCGACTGCAGTTGAAACTTGGGACGGGACTGGACTCGAAAACAGCAGTTCGAAATGCATTTACAAACTGCTTTGGTGACTGCGCCCTAGTTACCCCTTTTTTTTTTTTTTTTTTTTTCTATCCTTGACCATTTCTGTCTTAGAATTCCCACCCAGAGCCAGCTATAAGCTGGGATACGACCCAACATGTTCTCCGGGTTGTTTGTGGAGGGATTCCCGGCCTCCGTTGGATTTGGCAATAATTCAGTCTTTTGTTAAAAAAAAAAAAAAACGTAAAATCGAAGAGGACAGAACTGTCAACAAAAAATCCCCCCCCAAAAAGAATGTTTTTTTTTGCCTTTTTTTTTTCTTCTTCTCTCCGTCTTTTCTGTTTTTTTTTTTTTACAATTCCAAAAAGTTCATTGTTTCCTAAAAAAAAATATGGGGTTGTAGGGTTTACACCTAGGCTACCAGAGTGGCCCGGGGTCACTTGCCCGGGCCAAAAACAATAAAAAAAATAAAAAAATAAAAAATATTTTTATTTTTGTTTCTAAATTTGGTGCAGAATTTCGATGTGACCCTGAGGCAAAAGTTGTTCAGTTTATTTTTCTTCATAACATAGTTGTTGTTTGGAATTTTTTGATTTTTTTTTTTTTTTTTTTTTTTGGCTGGTACCTTCCCTGGTCCTTGCACGGGCTGGCCACCCGGGACCCGGACGGCCCGGCTGGTAGCCTAGGTTTACACCCAAAAAAAAAAAAAAAAAAAACATAAAATCGAAGAAGACAAAGAACTCTCAACAAAAAATCCCCCCCCAGGGGTCTGGTCCCACCTGTGTTGTTGAGAAAACTCATCGTGGAATTTCTACGTGCTCTTTCGACAGGATGTGGCCGTCGACAGGGCTGCGATCCCACGGTTGGAAATATTTCGAAATGTTGATGTCCTACCGGGTGAGTTGAATGATTTTTTTTTTTGTAGGACTTCAAATGGACTCTCGCAATGGAGGGAAGGCGGCATGGGCAAGCGCCACGGAGTTGAGAAAGCTACCCTCCATGGTCGAGGGTAGGTTTCTCAACATGGTCGATGAGAAATTTTGCGATTTTTGGGATTTTTAGTCGCCTTCTGCTGTTCCCCGTTTCTCGTATACTGTGTCAGGCACTTCGTCAGTGCAATGAAAGCCGTAACTGTCGTGCCTGGGCTCTATAAGGCCTTGCTCCGTTGCTCACCACATGCACAAACAAAAGAAAAAAGAAAGTCGATGTATGTTTCCGTGTTCTTGCCTATATTCATTGCTCTTTGGACCCACTTCCACGTCCTCGTGTTTCCACATCATGGGGCCTCGCTGCACTACTCTCGACATGCACAAAAGACA